CAACACAGTTTTGAATGAAAACTGACGAGAAATGCAAAGCCTTTTGGAAAATACCATCTCCAGTATCAAAGTGTGCTTCTCTGCATATAATAAACAATAGCTAGCTATAGCGAAAATATCAAAGAAAAAATAATAACATATATATTTTCTGTCACAAAGATGATGCAGTAGAGAAAGCCATTGCTGAGGCAATGTGAGAGCTTACCTTCAGATTTCCTAAACCCAGGTAAAGTCATGCATATTGGCATGCACCTGTAAACACATTAAGACTACAGAGTACAGACATAACCAAAAGATGGATATTATGGTCTGCACTTTTAATACAGACATTATGAAGCAGAAGATAGAGATACTTAGGGCTCACTATCAAGCCAGCTTATCCTCTATTTGATAAATTCCAGTCTAGTAGGAGACCTTATTAAAAAAGGGTGTGGGGGAAGAAGACATTTCCTGTGAAACTACATCAGAATGTGTTCTCTGATGTCCACTTGTGATTTCTACAAACACACACCTGTCCCCCTCCATGTGCATACACAGGGAGAAACACACACATTCATGCAAACAGTTTAAATTTAATAAAATTTATTTAAGAAATTACAATGAATTTTCTACCAGAAAGCAAGTCTATAATTAAATAATGGCTGATTTCTCTGGATTAGTAGAGTAAATTCATTGAAAGACAAAACAAAACAAAACAAAAAACTTGCCAGGGTAAACTTACACAGGAAAACATAAGTTCATTTTAAACAACCCAAGCAAGAAAAGGGTAGCCAAGCCAGGCAGTGGTGGCTCACGCCTTTAATCCCAGCACTCGGGAGGCAGAGGCAGGCGGATCTCTGTGAGTTCGAGGCCAGGCTGGACCGATAGCCTCCAAAACAACACAGAGAAATCCTGTCTCCTAAAATTCAAAAAAAAAAAAAAAAGAAAAAGAAAAGGGTAGCCAAAACACCTACTAAGAAAGTAAAACAGTGAAGTTTTTCTCTGAAAGTTTAAATTTTGTGTGAGTTCTAAAGCAAGCTTGGCTACAGATACTCTGTTAGTTCCCAAGGGAAATCAATACTCTTTAGAAAAGAAAATACATAACAGCTTTCTTTCTCTTTTTTAACAAAAACTGAACCCGTCTTCCTTTAGGAAGCTCACAAAGTCTTGCAATCCTAGAATGACTTGAGATAGTTCACAAGAACAAAGGCAAACAAAGAGGCAGGGAAGTTGGCAGAAGTTAACTCTATCCACACTTGAAAGGGTTAGAATTGAACATTTTCATGCTGTTTGCATTTCTACAGAAACCCTGCTCTCTCTAAAAGCATCCATATCTATTTTGAAGTTTTATCAGCATCCATACTATGGATCCATTTGAATAACCAACATGAAACAAAAACCTCTCTTTGTAGTGAAATACATTTTGAGTTTGTTGAACAGATTTGCATTTAAATTTCAATGAAATCTCAAAAATGTGTAACTTTTATTTTCCAACATTAGATGAAAACAAAAATGCAGTTCCTCAAATAAATTGCTTACATTTACAAGCACTCACTGGGCAAATTCACATGTAATGGTTTTTAAGTCCTATGTCATCCCATGGGCTGTTCTTCTATGATCATTGCCATCCATGTAATAATTTGTTTAATGAATATTTAGAAACTAAGAAAAAGAACACAGATCCTAAGGAGTCAAGTTCCATCCTTCAGAGTGTTAGCTAGGAAAGATTAACACATTTCCCAGTCCTGTGTGGTTAGGGATGCTGGGAGATGGGTAGTAAGAGGAACAATCTGTATGAACTGTGTATGTATGATTTTCAAATCAATTTAACCTAATCTCACATAAGAATGGGGATTTTTCCATGGAATAGATATTTTAAAATTATACACCAGATATTGAAGATGAACACTGTTTGGTCCAAATATATTTAAGAATCATGTAATATGCAAACACTGACTGACAAAATGCAAGCAAATAACTATGATTTTGAATTAATGTGATAAATGAGAAATGTGTAGTGAAGAATAATCTGTGAAGTATAAGTGGACCTTCATCAGGAATGACAAAAGTAGAGTTTTGGGAAGAAAACAGGTAAAATATTTTTAAAAGCTATATTGGAACACATGTACCTCAGAAACATATTTCAACTCACTAGTTGGTATAGTTAGTAATTATAGTCTCATCACACTGAAAATTGGAAAATAAAGCATAATCATCATAAAAGAGCAAGATTAAGAATCCTTAGCCAGCTCAACAAACTATCATATGTAATGTCTGCCTCTCAGAAGGTCAACAGTACATCTGTGTTTTACAAACATTAAGAAGTCTCAGAGAGCAGGGCATTGGTGGCGCACACCTTTTATCCCAGCACTCAGGAGGCAGTAGGTGGATCTCTGTGAGTTTGAGGCCAGTCTGGTCTACAGAGTGAGTGCCAGGACAGGCTCCAGAGCTACACAGAGAAACCCTGTCTCGAAAAACCAAGTAAAAAAGTCTCAGAGAAGAGAACCCTGTTTGCTTTAGCTTCCCCAAACCTTTTCTCTGTTCTCATAACAATTAATGTGTTGACAACTCTAGAGACATGGAGAAATTTTGTTCTGTGTGTATCTCTGACTCTGTAAGAACTGAGAGAGGGAAATTTAATATTTACTTCTAGAATAACAAAATTAATAAGGATATACCGAATCTTTGTAAACTTCAAATATATAGCAATGGTACATTTGCCATAGCTCCCCTGTTAGATAGAGCTAGGAGGATATTGATATGTAAGTAACTAGGTAGTTATATAGAGTGATAAAGAATAGACATATGAACAGCTAGAAAATATAGAGATGATATAGATGATTGGTAGATGATAATAAGAAATAAAATTAATCACAATGACTTACAGAAGCTCCACTGTATTCCAGATCCAGAGAGAAACACAGGAATCTGGTGGTATGCTTGCATGATTGGGAAACAAGTCAAAGTCAATGATGGAAATTCAAATGTGAGGCTCAAGGTCAGAGAATAATAAACACCGAGGGTAGGAAAGAATAGATGTGCTTGCTAAACCAGTGAGGCTGGCTTAATTCAGTCTTTCTCCATATTTTCCATTTTATTGATTTGTCTTGTTCATACACCCAGCAGATTAAGTGGTGTCTACTCATGTTAAGGAGAGCCATATTCCTCCTTTAATACATTATTTGAAGGGCTAATCCTTTTCATGAACACCAACACAGATATAGACTTTAAAAGGTTTAACAGTATATCTTGGCATCTCCTAACACATTCCCAGATGATACAACATAACAATCCCTTTGAAGCATGCTACATCTGCATCAATACTGTTCTGCTTGGAATTTAGTGTATGAATTCAGGAGTCTGAATGGCAGGAGGTCTAAAGCTAACCTAATACCCTTCCTATATGCAGCATTCCTAAACTTCTGTGTTTGTCCTCCTTATGGACGTTCCTGTGATCTGATGAGTAATGTATATAGCACAAAATAAGCTTCTAAAAGCCAAATGATATGGACTGGAGGCAGTGGAGAAGGGAAATTCTCTGTATCCCTTGAACACATAAGTGCAATAAGCCTGAGGAATATTTTTGAAGGTGAAGGTTGAGGCAATACTCACATTCATATCATAGCCAGTTACTATAACCATTAGTTACTCATTGCTAAATTTCAGAATTTTTTCCATCTTATGAAGGAATCCATACCTGACAAATTAATATTTCCTCTGATTTTCTTCTGAAACAGTCATGTGTACATTAGTTCTTTTTTCAATTTGCAAATAAATCTTCAGTCTGTTATCATAAATGCTGGCTCTTAATATGTTTGCTTGACCCAGAATACATACCCAAAAGAAATTGGTGGCCTAAAAACACCTCTATACAAAGTTGTATTTGTACTCAGAAGTGAACATAAACTACTTACCAACCATTTCTCCCATTTTTCTCTCAAAGGAGAATGGGTCTCCATAAAAATACTGAGCTTTCCATTCTACTATCTCTTTTTTATTGCAAAATAATATTTTATTGTAGAACACGCTACGTTTTATATACCCAAGTATCTGTTAATGGATATTCTAAATCCAGTATCTGGCTATCATGAAGAACACTGAACTCATTCGGTGGTGGTGGAATGTGCCTTTAATTTGAGCACTCAAGAGGCCGAGGTTGAGGATTTCTGGGTTTGAGGCCAGCCTGGTCTACAAAGAGAAAAGCTGTTTCAAAAAACAAAAACAAAAACAAAAAATGGTGAACTCTATATACACTTTCATAGAATGCTCCAGTTCTCTTGGTTAAAGCTGAGACTTGCTGAAGTATGAGGTAACTGTCACCTTTTATTTATTTTTAATTATATATTCTCTCTCTCTCTCTCTCTTTTTTTTTTTGTTGTTGTGCCACAGTGTCTGTGTGGAGGTCAGAAGACAACTTCCTGAAGTGGTTTCCTCCTTCCACCATGTGGGTCCCAGGGGTAAAACTCAGGTTCCTGCCAGCAAAAGCCTTAACCTTGGAGCCATCTAACCAACTGCATCTTGTTACCTTAACCTTTTCAAGAACTAATGGTCTTTTTTCCAAAGTGGCTGCTGGTAGTTTACCTTCACCTGAGCAATGTATACTTCGAAGCTCCGGTGGTCATCTTAGTTCACCTTTTTTTTTTTTTTTTTTTGGTTTTTCAAGACAGGGCTTCTCTGTATAGCTTTGGAGCAGGTCCTGGAACTGACTCTGTAGACCAGGCTGGCCCCGAACTCACAGAGATCTGCCTGCCTCTGCCTCCCGACCGGTGGGATTAAAGGCATGTGCCACCAATGCCCAGCTAGTGTTTGATTTTTACTGTTAGTATTTTGGGATCGCATTGAGAATACTTACCTATGATGTGCGCCTTAGTTCACTTTTTAATTGCAGCCACTATAGTGGAAATGTTAACACCTTGATTTGCATTCTTGATGAGCATTATCATCTTTTCATGTGCCACTGGGGATTTGTGGCAGTGGCTTTCAGCCTGTGCAAAATGCACGGAGATCTGAAAGTCTTTCCATTAAGATTTTGCTAACGCAAGTGTCCTTTCTAATTCCTTTAGTTGCATATTGCCTTGAGTAATCATCATTCGTATTGTATCCTCTTCCGTGGCACTTTTGTTGCTTTTGAATTCTTCCCTTGCCCAGTCCTGGAGGTACTTCCGGTCGGAATCGCTTGGAACTTGCCTTATGACTCGCAGAATCTTTCTGTAGAGGAGGAGAACTTGCTGCTGTCTCATGAACAGCTGCAGTGTCAGCACCGTGGGAGGCAAGCGCAAGGACCCCATGAGGCCTGGGGCGGCAGCGCTTCGTGCCCAAGAACAGGAGCGGCTCTACTATCTCTTGACTATACTTATATTTGATGACAATGAGTAAGCCAATCACAGTAGACTAAGGAACAGGAAATCATACCAACTAAAACAGATTTCAAATGACATACTGGCAATGTGAAGACCACATTTCTTGATTTCCTTCTTCACTATACATTTAATATTAATCGTGTACGGGCTTCACTTCAAAAGGTTATTTTATAGAGAAACTATATTACCAGCTTGGTTCTCAAAGTGACAAATTTCTGTATATGGCACTTGTCAGTCTCCAAAATGGGGTCTTCCTCTTTTCTATGATTTGCATGGTTCAAAACATCTTCTACACTGAGAATTTTCAAATTTTATTTCTGTACCAGGCATGCACATTGTATCTTTCAATTAACTGAAACATTTTCTTCCTGGGAATTATAAGCTGGTGAACATGGGATGTTAACACAATAGTAATCTTTTGGCTCTAATGTCAAATGTGCTTTGTAATGGAATTCTTCTTAACCATGGCATGTTTTGTATTCTGTGGATTCTGGGCATTTTGCCACAGTTAAGTTCTGTTGGGCATGAGAAAAGATCATGGGATCAAAAAGAGGGAAAGCAAGAAGGAAAAGTTAACATCCAAGGATGCTCAAAGTCACTTTATTTTGGATAATAATACATAAAAACAGTATTTTTTAATGAAAACCACCATGTTTCTCACATACTTCACAGGTCTTTGTGGATTTTGACAGATATGCAAACTCTTTTTATTCTGAGTACTGGTTCTTTGGCCCAACATAAGCAAATGTACATTCTCACAAAAATTTGGCTAGCATAATGCCTTTTAAATGAATACTAAATGTAAGTGTATCACAACCTATTTGAAAATATGTTTTACTTTGTGAAGGTGATATATTATACCTGAGATCTGATATGGGAGGTCATAAGTAAAAAAACTCTACTAGAAGTTTATATTACAGAAATCCTTTCTCCAACATGTAAATATTTTATGACCAATAACAGACAGATAGAAACTTATTTTTCACCTTTGGTATTCTTGTTCCATTCTCTGCATTACAAATGATAAAATTAAAATTAAGAGACATGAAGAGACATCTAGTGTAGCCTGACACATAGTAGCTTCCAAAAGTAGCATTCTCCACTTCTTCTTCCAAATGAGTATGATCTGGGCTGTAGAAAGTTTTGTTTTAATAAAAAATATATTCAGCATCCTATGACAGGTGACTCCTGAGTTCAATTCCCAAAACCCATATGGTGGCTTACAACTCTCTGCACCTCTTGTTCCAAGACAGAGGATGCCTTCTTCTAGTTTTCAATGGGGCCAAACTCCAAAACTTAGCCATCAGCATAACATTCTTATATAAGAAATAAGATAATTATAAAACTAAAAAGTCAGCTTGTAGAGCTTCATTTTCCATACAGCAAGTATTATTTGATACCTCTCTGTTTAGCAGACATTCTTAAATATCATTAGAATGTTGGCAGTAAAGTGTATATCTTAATAATTTATTTCTTCATGTTACATACTTTGAAATATATATATATATACATATATACTATGCAAAATATTTTCTCCTTATTTTATTGATGTTTATAAATAATTATAAAATTAATTATAAATAATGAATGAACATTAATAATAATATAGCATTGAAATGTTGTTTTGAAAGTATTTATAAATAGAAATACAAAATGAAGGAGAGGGGATAACTCACAATTATAGCATTTAGAAATAGCCAGAGAATATTTGATGCTATTGTTCCATGTAGGTAGATAGGTTGCAGTTACTTCTATAAAGTATATGAAGTATACTGTGTCTATAGTATCTAAAGAAATATATGATAAGTAGTAGCTTAATTTTTACTTTTTTAAGATTGTTTTCTTAAAATAAGTGATTCCCACAGATAAAATTCAAAAGTTAAATGTTGAAATACCTATAAAGGTGATATACAAGAAATATGCCTAAAAATTCCTGCTATTTGTTACTCTTCTAGCATTTTCTCAGATTTCATTGATCACCTGTCCCAATATTGTTTATTTGTTTGTAGTAACTTCTTGGGTATATTTAAAAACAAGAATGACTAGCATTTCTTTCAAGATCAAAGTCTCTAGAACACAGGAATTATTTTTAATGGTCTTTAAAATAATCACATTTTACATAGATAGGAGTTGGAGAAGTGACTTTAAGCATTTTTTGCTTGTTTGTTTTTGTTTCTTTTTTAATTTTTTATGTAAATTAAAAACAATCTTATTTTACATACCAATCCCAGTTCCTGCTCCCTCCTGTCCTCCCATTGACCACACCATCTCTCCATCCCACCCCTCATGCACTCTGCAGAGAGAGTGGGGTCTCCAATGGGGATCTTCAAAGTTTATCACATCATTTTGGGCAGAACTGAGGCCCTATAGGCTGAGAAAGTTTTCCTCCGTAGGTAATGGGCTTCACAAAGCCAGTTCCTGCACTAGGGATAAATACTGGTTCCACTATCAGAGGCCCCATAGACTGCCAAAACCCCCAACTGGCCTCAACACTCAGAGAGTCTAGTTCAGTCTTATGCAGGTTCCCCAACTATCAATCTGGAGTCCATGAGTTCCCACTTGATCAGGCAAGGTGTTTCTGTGGTTTTCTCCAATATGGTATTCACTTCTTAGCTCATTACTTCTCCTTCTCTACAACTGGTTTCCAGGAGTTTGGCTCAGTGATTAGCTGTGACTCTCTGCTTCTGCTTCTATCAGCTACTGGATGAAGGCTCTGTGATGACATTTAAGCTAGTCATCAATCTCATTACAAGGGAAGGGCTTTTAACGTATCCTTTCCACTATTGCTTAGCTTCTTAGCTTTGGTTATCCTTGTGGATTCCTGGGATTTTCCCTAGTGCCAGGTTTCTCTTTAAGCCTATAATGGCTCTCTCAGTAAAACCATTTCCTTGCTCTCCTTCTCTGTCTTCCCCCAATTGGACCTTCCTAATCCCCATTTAACATGCCACATATTATTTGTTTCCTTGTTTATAAATTAGTATTTAAATGCATGCTTGATAAGACCCTTCATGTTGTTTCATGCAAGACATTGTATTCATTTTATTACTTCATTGTCTTTACTAAACATTACAGTAAAACTTATTTCAGTTGTTTCTATCCAGAAATAACTATAAAATAATATTCTATAAGTATCCTTTTAACCTTTCACTAAATTTCTGTTTGAGATGCTATCTTTGTATTTATCATCTACTTATCCATATAACAGATATCTATCAACAATTTATCTATCACCTACCTATATTTATGTGGCTATTTCTATCAAAATTCATACATACATACACACACATACATATACATACTTATATATGTATAAATGTGATGATATTCTTCTAAAAAGTTTTAAAATCAGGTTCTAAGATTCACCCTTACCCGCAATTAGCAAGTTTTCAAAAATTGTCCATGTAGTACTGATTTTTTTCTTGTAAATAATAGTAACATTTGTGGACATTTTAGTGATATTTTGTAGTTACATATGCTAGTGACTCATGAGATTGAAATTTTAATTATTTATTGAAAAATGTGCTGTGCAAATACCTTCTCTGTCCATTTACTCAGTTGCAATCCCCTAGTCTCATCCCTAACTCTAAAACAAAACACCAGCTTCAGCCTTCCTTCCTCCCTGCCCATATCTCCTGTGGATCCCATACACCTCCCCATCCTAACTTTCCTCCTCAAACTCTGTCTCAGACCCCAACTCTACCAGGTAACTTTTGCTAACCAAAGGGCCACTCTTCCCAGGACAACAAGAAGGCTGAAGGCAGACATATATCTCTCCTACTGCTCCTGAGATCCTATACCTCAGTTCAGTACCATCTTCAGCTCTGTAGCAGGAACTCTGCTGTTTCCCTTTTCTTTTATGAACCCATCCCCACAGATCACCAAGACCTTCTTTGAGAAGGTTCCTACATGTAGTTTTCACACCTGCAATCTAGACTCTGATATGGACAGGTACTCTGCAAATTACCAAAAGAGAAACATAGACACTGGCCAGAAACACAGCTTTTGACCTATGATCGGTTCTGAAAAATGTGCTAGGGCAATAATGGTGGCACAGAACTTGTGGGAGTAGCCAACCAAAGTCTGATTTAACTTAAGTATCACTCCACTAAATAAATCAGTACCTGACACTGCTTGGATAACCAAAAACCAGAGACTAGATAGCTCAGAGACCTAGGGTAAAACTAAACCCTAAAGGTTAATGATAATAATAATAATAATAATAACAATAATAATAAATTATTTCTAATGATGTTCTGCTATACTCATAAATTAGTGCCTTATCCAGTCATTATCAAAGATCCTGTAGCAGCAGATTTCAAGACATACAGAGACCCACAGCAAGACAGTATGCACAGAGAGTCTAAACGGGAGATCTCCATTAAATCCCCTTCCTCAGAACTCAGAGAATCCTACAGAAGAGGAGGCAGAAAGATTTTAAGATTCAGCAGGATTGAGGACACCAATATAACATGGCCCTCTGAATCAACTAAGGAAGGTGCATATGAGTTCACAACAATTAAAGAAGAAAATATAAGACCTACAAAGTCTACACCAGGACCTGCGTGTATATATTACAGCTTTTACCTTAGTGTTTTTATGGGAGTCTTGACTGTGAGAATGAGTGGGTCTCTGATTCTTGTGCCTGCTCTCCTCAGGACACTTTTCCCCCTGTCTGGTTGTCACATCCAATATCAATATTAAAATCTTTGCTTCATACTATTGCCATTTTTTGTCATCTTTGTTTGTGATCTCTTGGAAGCCCATTCTTTCCTAATGAAAGACAGAAAGGGAGTGGATGTGGATGTGTGGGAGGGTGGAGAGGAACTGAGAGGAGTAGAAGTAATAGTAGAAACTGTAATCATGATATATATATTATGAGAAAAGAATCAATTTCCAATAAAAAATCTACTCTTTAGAATTTACTTATT